TACAATATTGTGCCTATTTTAAAGCGTCATTAAAAGGGAAGCTACCACTATAGGACGTCACTAATCTAATACGGGTTTTGCAGCAGAGTGATTTTTGAGCCTTCCCCCTTGTGATTTATTTTGTGTCTTTTCAAGGGGAGTATTACTGCAAGTTACTTGCACAGAGTTGCTTATGGTAGACTCTGTCTTCCCCTTTTATATGTTGTTGGTAATTTTGTTTATTATTTCTCTCTACTCTTTTTTTCTATTTTTTTTCCCCTTTTGTGCTAGCTGATGGTTTTCTCCGTGCTGACAGAGAGAGCTTTCTTAGAAGCAGCCTACAAATCTTCTTCCATCCTCTTACTCTGTTCCAGCTAGACTGCCAGTTGGGATTGCAGTTCTGCAAGGTTTTCCGTGGGGTAGATATAAATATTAGGTATAAATTTTAAGACAGAGCAAAAGATATAAATAATGGGTACTTATAAACAGTGTTATTTAGGACCACGCTGAGTGAGGACAAGTAGGGCTGAGTTGGGAGCAGTTTGGAGCCAGCTGCCTGCTCCTCTGCTCTCTTGGTTTCTGGATGTGGTCCCCAATTAGCCATAAAATCCCCAATATCAGATACTTTACCCTTTTCAATGTGCAGGTACTAATAGCAGATCTGCTTTATCTTCAGAGACTGCTTTAAACAGGAGAGCTTTAAATAAAGTTCTGAAATCACCTTCCCTAGAGGTAAAAAAAAAAGAAAAAAATCACTGCAAACTGGATGCTGATTAATGTTTTCGGRGAATGAGATGCATTTAGGAAAGTCGATGATAGCAAAGGCAGGATGACTTGGCAGCTCGATTGCTGCATCATTCGCATTTCTTTTGCTCCCCTTCCAGAGAAGACAAGATCTGAGGTGCTTTGGGTACTTGAGGCTGAGTGGTAAGGAGCAGGTTGTGCTGTTTTCCCCAGTGAAACCAGTCATCGTAGCTTCCTTRGACTGAACTGGGAAGAACAGTTTGTGTTTCAAGTAGTATGCCTGTGGAATTCATAAAGATATATATGAGCAATGCGTGGACAGATCAAATTGGAGGCAGAAGAGGTGCTGTCTCCAGGCTTGTTTTGTTTTCTGGCTTTGTGCATGTTGTTTTCTGAACAACATAATGCAATGGTCGGTGACAGGTTACACCAGGAGGAGCAGRAACACGTCAGGAGTCCTGCTTTCCTCTGCACACCTCTGCATCCGCTGTGCCCGGCGGGTTCGTTGGGATTCCTGCATGCCACGGGAGGGTTTATTTCACTCTGAAGCATTAAAGCACACCTTGACCCTGGAGGGTGCAAAAGGACATGCTGTTTCCATGGACTTGGTCACAGTGTCTGCAGCTTCCCTTCTGCGCATCCAGACAAGCAGGACAAGGGTTGCCCTGAGTTCAGTACTTTGCTCCAGAGCTGGGTGCGTACCACAGTTTGAAGATGCTGGTTTCTCCTCTGCGTGATTCCCTGTGTGTTTTTCTTGAGGTGCACTGGGTCCCTCTGCAACAAAGTGACTTCTGGAGGATTGGAAATGATTATTGCCCTGCTGTATTTATTCAGAGAGGATGCGCCGCAATTGTCAGCACCGAGTATCCGGTTGGGAATTCAAGTTTCAGCTGGTAGATTGAGGCTGAAAGGCAGAGCTGTGGGACAGAGAAGGGCAGGCACAAAATGCTGAGGCTCCTAATCTTTCAYGAGATGTTTGCTTAATACAAAGTGGTCTGCTGAGGTTGTTTTGCAGGGTGGATTAATCATTGTGTGCTGACTAATGAGAGGCAGCAAACTATTAAAGAGCAGCAATTAACTATATAGCAGGAGGTTATTGGGTGTTTTCATTGGGTGTTTCACATCTTTAGGACGTGAAGAGTAAAGTCTATTACTCAAAGGTAACCTTTAGAGATTTATATCTGTTAGAATCTACAGGCAGCAGCAAGAGTACCTGGGGACACGTGCCTGGTTGCAGAATTCAGCTGTGACCAAAACCATTAGCACAAACAAGATCTGCTTTCCCACTCTGATATGATACAAATAATGCTTTGCTGAGCTTATTCTCCTATTTCATACTCTTTATTTCAGAATTTTCCCATATTAATTTCATCTAATGTTGTCCCGTGAAATATTGGCCCTGTTTGCAGAAAGTAATGTCCAGTGCCTTTCTGACACTCGCATGCCAGAATGACTGTTGCACTTCTGCCCCAGTTGCTCTTACAGATAGACTGTTATCCTTGTCTTTAGAGCTGATCTTGCTGAGATCCAGTAAGATGGGCTATTCCTATGATGAATTAAAACTCGGTGCACTTAATGTCGAGAGGAGCATGCTCTTCCGTCATGTGCCTCGCACAATGGATAATAAAATTCTCCACTGCTTGCCAGTAGAGAGTATGAAAACCCATGTTTTATTAGAAATGCTTTTATATAGCCTGGCTAGTATTCTGTCTGGGTTTAATGCAAAAAATAAATAACATATTGTGGACTCTGCTGAATGATTTTGGGTTTTGTGAGTAACAGAAGTTTTTTTTTTTCCCCCCATCCTGATTCCAGTGTGTTAAATCCACTTCTTGCAAACTTCTCTTTCCATTTATTCCTTGATAGTGGGGAGGCCAGATAACACTGAATTTATTTCTTCAGTTTTGTTTCTTCTAAAGCAGTGTTAGAAAATTGGCCTCAGATGCTCATTTAGCCAACAGCGAACGATGTCCTGGGATTCCTAGGGGATTATGATAATGAAGGACCCTTCGAGTTTTGGACAAGGGCAAAGATAGACTTCTCTCTACTTCAGCTCTCTCTATTCAAGTGCCTAATGAACAGTGGTCTCCTCTAGCAGTTGCTTCTGCATCGATAAAGCYCTTCGGAAAAATTCAGAGAAATTTGTTCCTTTCCTGCTTGGTGGGTTTTGTTGGTCTTGGATCAGAAGGATCTGGAGATGGAGGATACCGTGATGAGGACCCCGGGGTAAGAGTGCTCAGTGAAGGTCCTGGTCATGTCAGTGTTAACGGGAACGTTTGCCCTCGTTTCTGTGGCGTTTCACCCCAAATGAGGACATAACCTGGTCTCCCGTACATCAGGGGCTCCTTGGTTTGTGTCAGTGATGAAACCCTCCCTGTTGAGCTATGGAGAATCCCTTTTATCCCTGGATGTGGCAGCTGGTTTGACCCTAGTTAATATGAACAAGAACCAATGGCTTGATGCTGGTAAAGGGGAGGATTCTGCTACCTGAGGGCTCTGGTCCTTGCAGCTGGAGCTGCTTGGAGCTCTGAGCAGTCTCTGGTTCTTCAGGAGGTACCAGACTATCCCTGACCTTACAGGGAAGTGRTCTGAGGGATGAAGTTTGGGTTCACCCCACGGCTAGGGATGTAGAGCAGCTCCATCGACTTCAGAGCCACGGGGGGGTCCCATTAGCACTGAGCTTGACCTGAGCTGAGCTCTGGCTACAGGATTTCTCCCTGGAGCTGCARTGAAGCATTTCATGGTTCATTATCTGCACAGCAGGAAGCCATGTCTTATTTTGAAGCTAAATGTCTAACTCTAATTTTCATCCATTTGATCTTTGTGTGCCTTTGTCAGCAAAGCCTGGTCTCTCACTGGTTTCTTTTCCCTATGTTTGCCCTGCACAAACAAAACAGTTCGAGCTCTTGAAGTCTCTTATTACCCGGCTTGTCTGGGGGCTGTGCAGCGCCGCGTGAGCCGCCTTTGAGCAGCGCGCTCCCTTGCTGGTGCTTCCTGGGCCCGAGCTCCGGAGCTGCTCGCAGGCTCCGGCAGAGCCCTGGGGCTCGTGCGGATGATTGCAGAGGCACCATCCCTTTTCCGAGGCTTTGCAATTTATTTCTGGCAGCTTGTTTGCTGTGAAGGACAAGGGACCGCCTTGTCCCTGCTCTCCCAGTAGGCTCCAGGTGCACAGGATTGCTCTGCTCAGTGCTCACTGGATCCCTCCGGGAGCCACTGCACCTTGCAGGGAGCTTCCCGACAGGCTCGGGAATGGATTCAGCTCCTGGAGGGCTCCAGGGGTAAAACAGTGGGAATGTGCAGCCAGGGCTCTGGGGAAGGACAGCAAGGCAGGATGATCCCTCCCTGGGGACTGCCATGTGCCAGATTGCTCCCTTCCCGCTTCCCGACGCAGTTCTCCCCTTGCGCTGAGCTCTGCCAGCCACCGCTGCAAAAAAATGTTCAGAAAATGTGAAATGCTGTTGGACCAAAACCCATTTCCCTGAAGTCCCTAGGAAGGTACCTCTCTGTACTGATGTTTCTCTACTGACAAATACATGTTGAGATGAGACACAGAAATAGTGTTTAATCCACTTGCAAGATGGTAATTGCCTTTCCAATTTTACAAGTTCTTCAAATCAGATTGTTAGAGAACATTAAATGAAATGCTTTGGAGAAATCCCAGTGTATACAATTGCTTTTGTCATCTAGACTGTGATTCTGTCAGAAGTAAAGGTTTGTTTATTTGGTCTGTCTTCATTTTCTTCTTGGCCTCCACTTCTTTGTCTGTGTTCCATTATTTTCCTTCTACTATTTGTTACGCTGTAATGAGAATGAGAATTAAGGAATCTCCAGCTTATGGTTGCTATCCCTACCTTTCAGCAGTGCCAAGTACCGTTTGCAAACTAAATTAATATTGTTAGTCATGAAGCAATTAATCTGCTATGACAAYGTGGTGACTTATTGCCCGGTGGTGATGGAGAAGGTCGCTCTCCTGGATGTCTCTCTTTGCTCGGCGTGTTTGGCTCTCAAGTCAAACCACCCACTCGGTGCAAGAGAGAGTGGGGAGCCCTTGTCGGTTAGTTGTTGGTGGAGGGATTGCTGGGCTGTGAATCCATAGGCACATTCCTGTAGGTACTCTTTGATCCCTGGTGCCGTTACCTGATGGAAGGCACGGATTGGCTTGCAGTCACAGCTGGCTCTCTTCTCCTTGACAATCCTAGTCCAGACGTGGCATTTCACCTTATTTCCTGGCACAAGGCTTACACAGATGTCTGCTATGCTCTTTTTTGTCTCCATAGATGAAAACAAGAGAGGAGGAACTACAGAAAGACGACTTCTGTGCTGCTGCTGCTACAAAGATCCAGGAAGCCGTGCAGCTGAAGCTGCTCGATATTACAGACCGTTGTGCTCCAACAAAAAGGAGGATGCACGGGTCAGGCAGACTGGTGTTCAGAAGCAAAGACTCTGCTGGCACAACAGGCTCTGGCAGATCTGTGTCTAAGGAGCCTGTTCCAAGCGTGAGCGCTACAGAGGTGATCAGAGAACTGCAGGTGAGAAAGGCCAGCCTGGAGAGAGAGCTGAAGCAGCTGCGGGACGAGTGCAGGCAGCGAATGGATGAAATTGCCCAAGGGTTGGATGGAGTCATTTGTGTCTCCCCTTGAAGAGATGAGGCTGGACTGAGATAAGTAAAGGGCTGGAGTTATTTGATCAGAAGGCATTTGCACAGCTTGGCATGGGGGAGTGCGAGGTGAGGAACTGAGTGTAATTTCTGATTTTTAGCTTGGGAATCATAACCTGCTCTGGCTTTGTGACTTATACTGGGGCCRTAACCTCGGTGGTTCTCTCTGCAGCCCTTTTATTGCAAGCCTTGCCAATTAAATTCTGCAGCAGGCCGTAGTGGGAGTGTGCTTAAATCTCTCTTTTATCTCTTAGATTTCTAGTTCTTCTGCCAAGCACGGGGCTCTTTTACAGTGCTCAGCTGCTGCACGGCATACTTGGAGGCTGCAGATTGAAGCACTAATTGCGTTCAACGTTTTTCAGCAAGTGGAAGTGTTCATTAGTCAGAAAAATCCAGGTATTGGAAAACATGTTAAAGCACTGGGGCTGAGAGACATTGGAAATGTTCAAGAAAGTGTGCTACTTAATTCAGCTCGTTTGCATATTTGTGGCAGCTATTATGCAGCCTCCATAAGGAAAAACAAATGTCTAATAATAAATAAAGCAGCGCGGTGGTTTCATTCACCGCCGTGATGCACTTGAAGTGATTGGATTCTCGGAGAGAACAAACTGGAAACCCATTCYGCTGAGTTATGAATTACACTGAGATAACTTATGGGTCTTCTCTAGGAGGTTTTTGTGGAATAGAAACGTGGCCTTAAATTCCAAGCCTGAAGAGGCTACAGCCTCTATGAGTCTCCATCCTCTCTCTCTGGATTCCTTCTCCCTAAGAACATACAATTTTTTTCACTTACCATTCACTTTCTGTCCTTTTCTTTTGCTTTCACTAAGGAGTATTTTTATATTCTAGTTGTACACTTTCAGAACTAATAAAAGAAGTGTTTGCTTTTTGCAGAGGGTTGTCCACGGTCTGGCTTTCTGTCTCCCAGCCCAGCCTGGCTCTGTTGCTGGTGAGCAGCCGCTCTTGGCTCACTCATACTCATACTCACATATACAGGGGTGCAGCAGGGCTGCAAGTGTGTGGGGGCAGCTGGCAGCGGGCACAGACCCCACTGGGCCAGAGGGCTTCATCCATGGGGCAACTGGCTGCAAACTGCTGCGGGGAGAACAGCCTTGGTCTTAAAGGTCAGTCCAGGTTGTTTTGCTTTTGAAACCATCTCTTCGGTGCAAGAAGCACATTATTGGGTTTTCAATATGTGTACAGCTGGTGTTGGCTGTTGCAGCTTGTGCAGGTGTTGACTCCAGGGTATAACAAGTGTAAAGAAAGTGTAAGAATACTAATTCAGACACAAGTCTCCTAGGAAAATTATTTGTGAAAGATAGTCAATCTTAAAACTAACAGCGCCTCGATACCAGTCTTCTTTTCTTCCTGAGTATTTTATGTCCTGCTTTCGCTTTTATATGAGAGAGTATTCTTATTGCATCAAATTTAGCTTTAAAATGTTGCCCTCAAAGAAGTTTTGTCCTCCTGGGGCTTTCGGCAAAGTGAACAAATGTTGTTGAAGGCGGAGAGAGAGCTCGAATGCAAACGTAGGCCRAGCTCCTACCCCGCTGTGCTTTATCAGGGTCCTCCCACTGCTCCGTGCCGTGCTGTATTTTGCTGCCATCCGCTTGAGCTGACAGTCGTCACAGGCGAGGAGATGAACTCCTTACCCGCTATCCAACATGTGTCAGCGTGCGGCGCTCGGTGCCGCCGTCCTCCTGCTCATCCGTGAATCCCATTCCGGCAGGGACCCGAGTTTTGGCAGAGCACGAGCGCCCTGCTCGACCCTGAAGRATTATTTCCATCTCTGGTGAGATGTGAAAGTTACCGTCCTCTGTGTGTGTGTATRCATAAATATATATGTGTGTGTGAATACAGAAGTCTCCGTTGTGAGACCTAGGCAGCTGTATTTACCACATGACACAAATCATCATAACAAGGTGGCCGGATAATTAATGGGATACTGTCAGCGCAACCGGCAGCTCAGAGCTGTTGTTCTTTCCCCTGACATTAACACCTCAAGGGGCTAACAGTGCAACAGCTCCTCAAACATTGCCTCTTCCCCGGGCGCCTCAGTTTGGCTTTGAGCACCCCAGGCCACCCTTGTGCTGGGCGAAGAGCACAGACAAGGTGGTTTGATTTTATTTATTTATTTACTTATTTTCTAGCAGCGATCTTCCACCTGCCTCTAGTTTTTGGTGCAATTAGCAGTTAAAAGAGCGGCTGGATATGTGGATATTCTTTTCACCAGCGGCACCTGCAGTCCCCTTTTCCTTTGCTCCGCAGCAGCCTGGGGAGCACAAAGGCTGGAAGTGGGGTCCTCATTTTAGGTGCTTGGTGGGGTCATGCATTGAAATTTTGCAGGGGTTTTTCCCGGCAGCTGAGGTGCTGGCTGCCTTTGAGAAAGCCGCACGTGTCCAATGGAGTGATCCGAATGGATTGAGATATGGATCCTGTTCCATGGACTGGCGATGGATTTTGCTGTTTTGCTGCAAGTAGAGACACTTTGTGCTTGTCCTGAGTGCTGCCTCCCCGGCATTGCTAGGAGGGGATGCATGATAAACACGGCCTAAAATCAGTGACCGTTCTAGGCTCTTAGTGAAACCAAAGGCAGGGAGGGAACTGCTTGACCACAGCAGCACTTGTGAGATGCAGCATGGGATTAAAATCTGCTGGTCACCTCATGCATCTGAGTTTTGGTGGCATTTGAAGAGTTCTCCTTGCCTTTTTCAAGGCACTGGTAGTGTCCCATGGCCAGTCCCTGCATCTACTCCATGCCTCAAGTCTCCCGAGTGATCCCAGGAGGAGAGGAGYGTAGTGCAGGTGATGGCCTGTGCTGCTGAGCTCAAATCAGCAGCCCCTGGAGGTGCTGCCGCTGCTGGGGGACCCCTGCCTGCCCAGTGAGGCCGGGGCCAGGCTGGGGAGAACAGACCCAGACACTCTCTTGGTGGTAGCCTGTGGCAAAGCCTGTCCCTAGGGCAGCCTGCACCCGGCTCCTCTCCAGGGCCTGGAAATGCACAGCACGCTGCTCTCTTCTTTGGTGACATTTCACTGAACATGAGCTGAGTTCCTGCCCCAGGGTTTAAGCAGTTTTCTGATGATGGCTTGTCTCTGAATGTGTCCTTGAGAGGAGCTTGCACAGCTCTGGTGTAGTATCCTGTGTGCCAACGTGGAGGTATTTATRGGTATTTATAGGTTTAACCAGCCTCTCCGATGCAATTGGTAGTTGCTTTCAAAAAAAAAAAAAAATTGCTAGGAAAAAGAAATTGGCCATAAATGGTGGTTTAATGGATGCATTGGATGGTTGCCCTTGCCCTCTGGAGCCCCTTGGCTTCTTGCAGCAAGTCCCWCAGCCCTCTGGCCTTCACTGTCTGCTTCCTATTAAACCTATAAATGCTGTGATCTTGCTGCTGGCTTGGTGGTCTTGTTCCCTGAGGACTGGGCGGCCCTGTGTCCCGGCGGCTGGGAATCACCAGGACCCTTTCCTGTCGGGATGGATGGCAAGGAGCAGAGGGAGCGGGCAGGGAGCGCTCCCTGGCAGGCCCTGTGTGGTGCTGTGCCYGTTGAAGCACCGAATTGTGATGCCAAATCCTGGACCAGACTGAGGATACCCACGCCAACCCCTCTTTGCACCACCACATCTCCATGCTGGATGTGAATTAGAGGAGGAGCTCGCCCTTTGCGAGTGGTGAGTACAGCACGTYGCCCAGGTGTGCTCCTTTCCAATCCATGTGTCCCTCGTGTCACAGCCTTTGAGGGCAGACCACGCTTGCTCGCGGTTCCCAGAGCACCCTGCCCACCCTTCCCTCCTGCCCTCTGCTTCTCCTCCTCGAGAGCTAGAAAATACTCAGGTTTCTAGCAGGGCAAACTGGCCTCAAAGCCGAGCCAACGGGTAATTCTCCAGGGTGGTGCCGAAGCCCTGTCAGCCCCTCTAGCTCTTTCCTGCACCTTTCTGACCACAGCACCACTGCAGCCCGGCTCCTTCGCAGGATGCCTCCTCTTCYTCCTCCCCGACGCTTTGGGGACAAGCAGAGGCTTTTGCTTGATCCCCTTTTCCTTTTTTTCTTTCCCACAGGCTGCAGTTGAYACTCTCCTTTGCCTGCAAGGAGCCAGCCCAGGCGTGTGCCTTGTGCAATCGCATCTTCTCCCTCTGGGGTCATCCCTGAGGGTTCTTGCAGCGGGATACACCGGGGCTAGGGCTGGGGGTGAGTATTTCATGCTGATCCCGAGTGAGCTGCTGCCACCACCCCGTGGCCGGTGCTCGCCCGGGGACCGTTCCCGGCGGGCCTGCCTCGCCGCCCGAGATGCGGCACTAATTCATTCCTGCAAGCAAATGAGCTTTCTAATTAGATCTTTTTTTAAGCATTTTTTTCCCCTCACTGAGAGTGATTAATATTAAAAATGCTAATATGTATTTTACAGTGTTAATCACCCCCGAGGAGACCCTGTGGTCGATCATTGCCAGCTTTTCTTTCTCTGCCAGCCTCCCTGCATTGACCCCTGTGGAGGCTGGAGACACCTCTTGGCATCGCTGGCTCTGCCAGGCAGCAAAGTGGATTTGGTGCCACAATAAAGGAACAACATYGGGATGGAGCGAGATTCCCCTGGCCTCCCTTATCTGGTAACTTAAGCCCCTTCTGCACAATACAAGCATGTGGAACAGAGAAGAAATTAATGAGAAATTCCTTGGGATTTAGCTGAGATATTAATCATTTTGCCCGCCAGTACATTCAGTAGAGRCTTTTCTAGTGAATTCCCCCGGAATACGGTCAGACAATGTCATGTTGCATAAAGGAGMGGGCTGTTTTTTTAGGGCTTTTTAAGAAAGGTGCTGATGGCCACAGCACACAGGTCTGTGAGGGCACCTTGTCCTGCTGCTCTGGGGCCCTTGGCGAGCGTGGCCTGCGGCGCTCCGCCTGGGAAYGAAGCCCTCGTTGGGCCAAACACACTCGTGTTTCYAGCAGCCTGCTCACCTTCTCCTCCCCAATCTCCACTCGTGGCTTAAAAAGCTGCTTTCAGGGTGAGGCTGTCAAACTTAATCCTTTCCAAATATCCTTTTCTGCAGCGAGATTTCCCAGGCAGCCCTAAAACTTGCCGAGATGATTTGGACGGAAGGAGACATCCGAGTTAAAGGCAGTTGCCATTTAAAGCAGCTTCTATAACTTCCAGGCACCCACGCTGACCTACGGCAGCGCATCACCGAGGAGGCCATGCCCTGGTCAAGCCATCAGAAAGCAGCAAGTTCAAACTCCTTTTTTTTCCTCTTTCTCTTTTTTTTTTTTAATAAAATTAAATTTAGGAAGTAATAGAGAGTGCAACCACCTGCTTCTGATTTAGGTGCTTTAATAAATGAGGCTCTGACTTCAGGTTAAGGCAGGCGCCGCAGGCTAYGCAGCTCCAGCCCCATTTCTGCTCCCTTTGGCTTCCCTGCGTGGAAATTGCTAGATGAAAGCTTGGCATTTTATTTTTGCTCCAAGTGGCAGCTGCTATCATGTGAAGTGATCTTTAGTGCCTGCTTTTGACTTCTTCTTTTCAACCTTGCACACTTATTTTTATCAGCCTGGAGAGGGAATGTGGCCATTCTGAAGTAGGAGCAATTTCCCAGTGGGATATGAGGCAAGGTCAGATTTAGGGCTCATACCGTTCTGTTTGCAACAGTAATAGAGTGACTACATTCAGACCAAAACAAACATAGCAAGGGCCCAAACAGGGAAATTGCACAACAAAACTTACTATTTTTTTTTATATTGGAACAAGCATGGC